TTGGCTCCCAAACCCTTAACAATTTCTATCCAGCACCCAGCCCCAGATTCAAAATGTGGTTCCAACAAAAAACTGCCCAAAACGTTTCGCCCGAAACTTTCGCCCAAAACTTATTGGCACCCAAACCCTTAACAATTTCTATAAACCCTAAACCCTAATCGACAGATCCTCGGACATTCTCCCGCCTTGGCCCGGGCCTCGATCTCGCTCATCCCACTTGCACGGTACCAGTCCTTGGCCATTCTTGGGGGGGATGGGCATTGGTTTAGGGGTTTAGGGTTTAGGGTTTAGTTGGGGGGTTTAGGGTTTAGGGTCTAAGGTGGATTTGGGTAGCTCTCTAAACTAAAGTAGGGTCCTTTTTTTTGTCCCCGAAATGGGACGGCACCCCTCTAAAAGGGGACCCTAACAGAGACCCTGGCTTGGAGAACTACCCATTTCGGGGCTGAGGGGATTTGCTGGGACGGGTTTTCGGGCCCGGGATCGGTTGTTCAGGTCGCCCTGCCGGCGGGGTGGTAGGGTTGATGATATGAATCCTGCATTAGCTTAAGGACCCTAAACTCTGGGAATTACGGTATAAAATTCCTTATTATGGGTGATGCAGGATTTATATCATCAACAGTAGGAGGTTTTGTGTTGGGCTTCGGAAAGTCGGGGGGGGGGTCCCCTGGGATCTGGGGTTTTTTCAGGGCTCTGATCCAGGAGCCTCGGCTGAGGGTTTGGGGTTTTAGGGTCTACGAAGCTTAGGGTTTCGGGTTTAGGGTTTCGGGTTTAGGGTGTAGGGTTTAGGGTGTAGGGTATCCGTATAGGGCTTAGGGTTTGGAGTTTCGGGTTTTAGGACTCAGGGTTCAGGAGCGTGTGCCTGGTGCTCAGGCTAAACTGGGGTGCCTCTGAAATGGTGGCAAGACCAGCCTGGACGGATGATAGCACTAGAAAAGGGTTGAAGGTTGCTGGCTTTCTTCGTGGCGTGAGCAAGGTTGTGGGTGACAAAAACTGAACAAACAGCGCCAGGACTCCTGCTCTGACGCATCTAGCTCCGAGCCGTATAGGACACGACACTCAAAGTTCATTCACCCCCATACCATCAATGCTACATAATGCTAGGCCGTGCTAGGCTGAGACTCCAGTCGCCCGCCGCAGGTTGAGCTGGAATAGGCGTCGTTAGCCTCGACCGCCGAGACATCTTCGCAGGTCGGGCCAGCGCTGGAGCCCGCTGTGGTCGTGGAGGCGGGTGTGGTGGTCCTGGTGGTTGTAGTGCTGCTGGTGGTCGTGGTGGTCGTCGTAGTGGTCGTCGTAGTGGTGGTCGTTGTAGTCGTTGTGGTGGTCGTTGTAGTCGTTGTGGTGCTGGTCGTTGTGGTCGTTGTCGTGGTGCAAGGCATCTCGGTGCAGGAGCTCGTGTTCGCCTCTGTGAGAAAGGCCTGGAAGTCTTCGAAGCTGGAGGAGGCTGTGAGGCCAGGATACCAATCCTCGGACGCATGTACTATTAGTACTAAAATCTCTCAGATGACCATTGTCAGATTTTCTGGCATGGCACCTACAACATACCGTGAAGACCACAGCACTACGAGTTTGTCTGCGGGAAATCTTCGAGCACGTGGCCCTTCGTAGGGGTTCTTGTTGACCTCTTGAACTCGGGGACTTCGGAGGCACCAGGAACCGGTCTCTTGACAAAACGATCCCCGGTAGCATCCCGGCACTCCTCTCGGAATATCGCCTTATCATAGAAGAAGCGCCAGAACCAGCTCCCCTTTAGACTCTAGACACGAAACTGCTTCTGTTGTTGGAGTTCGGTTTGGTTGCAACCCCCGTCGGTGACTATCAGGGCTGGACTGCAATGGGCCAAGATGCCGGTCTCCAGAAGATGCCCTCAGACTTCGCCCAGGTAACATCGGCGTAGCAGGGCTCCCCGGGCAGGGCCGTGCGGCAGCTTCCGCAAGGCAGGGTGTCGCAGTGGCGGTTCGAGGGCTGGCGGATCACTCGGTGGCACTGGTAGTCATCCAGTATGGAGAAGGCATCGATGGTGCGGTTCCAGAGCTCACACCGACCTTTCACGTGGAACTCGACTCCAGTGCAGAGGTCCGCTGCCAAGCACTTTGCCTGGCAGTCGCTGAGTGAAGCTGCTCGGGTGACTTCGAAGTAGGAGAGCTTGTTGTCTCCCCTGCTCGCACCGCGACACACACGGCCCACGGCCCCGTCCACGGGGGCGAAGTCCCAAAAGCTGTTAGAAGGGTGAACGAGGCGGTGGCACTGAAAGTTGCGCAGGGACCGAGTGGCTTGCACTTCTCTGAGCCAGAGCTCACAACGAGTACCGGAGAACTCCACCGCCTTGCACCCCGAAGAGCTCTGACACCTCTGCTGGCAGGCCTCCAGGTCTGTGGCCGTGACAACGCGGTAGTTCGCTGGGTTGTTGTCTGACGCAGAGCGGCCACGGCAGACCCGATCTATCCCTCCATCCGCCGGCTCCCAGGAAAGTTGCCCCATGAAGCCTTCTTCGAAAAACGAGGTCTGGATCTCCTCAAAGGAGGCCGCGTCGTCCCTCTCCTCCTGCGCCTTCAGCACCGCCTCATAGCAGGGCTCCCCAACCTCCGCAGTTCGGCACTGCTCAGAGAGCCGAAGCCGCGTCCGATGCTGGGCCTTGCGCAGCTGCACGAAGAGGAGATCCCGGGGTCTTTGGGTAGCCGGGGCTCTGCACACCTCGCCGCTGCAGGCTTCCTTGGCGCACAGGAGCCGAGCCAACAAGATCAAGGTCAAAGTCCTCATGCATGCAAGCGAATTACGAGCTTCCCGAAAATCTCAAGAGAGCCCGTGACAAAAGGTACAAGTCTTCTGGAAGCTTGAGCCGTTTTCCAGAGCAGTTGACATCACCTGGTAGAATACACCTTCAATGTGCACAACACGTGTTCTACAGTGATTCTACAGTTGTCCTGCACTACTCACTACTGCTATATCGATCATTCACTTGCAGAAACGCGACTGCCAGCATGCCCAGGCAACGTAGAACAACTCAAACGCTGCCCACATCGTCTCGCATGCCTATCTCCAGCATCTCCACGCAACATATCTGTGCATAGATACCTTACCCCAAGACGCTCAAACAACTCGGCATCAACTGCATGGAGGGACCGCTCTCCCATGGGCCTGAGGGTATAGGATGTAGGGCACCGAGCACCTTTGCCTTTTACCTCTTGCGATGTGACCGTCCTGGGACAGCGGTTTAAAGACGCAGAGGAGCACATCTTGCAGGGCTCATTGGACTCGAGCTTGCCTGTGTCGGGCTATACAACGGCAGACGGACTTGACAAGCTGAAACTTGAAACGCTGAGCCGAATTACGAAAGATGCGGCTTTCGAGTGAGAAACGTACTCGGCACCCGAAGGTACATGGACAGCAGTGCCTCTCCCTCCCAGGCATCTTTCCCTTCATGCTTTCAAAACTCAATCTCTGTGGTCTGCTGTGGCTGTCAGCTTTGGGTCATCTAGGTTCCAGTAGACGAACAGGAGTGATGACAAGACTGCCAGGTGGCTGATGTCTGTGACACTGTAGAACAACTGACAACTGTAGGAACTGATGAAGCCCATGTTCCCGAGCAAGAAGATCACAGTGTATGCCACGAACATGACCTCCTTGACGAATACGCTGGCACCTTTGAGAGTGGGCTGCGATGTGGTGCGGATGTGCTCAGTGAGATAAACTACCTCATCTGCAACTACCGCAGCATAGGTAACGCAGCCAAGCACGGTCAAGAACCATCCCATCCATGGGTCATACAGGACCGATCCGAGGCCGCAGGTCCAACAGTATGTTGCAGAGGCCGCAAGCTGCGGGAATATGCGAACAAGGACCTCGAGCATCGAATGGCTGTCCATGAGTGGGTAGAGGTTCATGAACAGAACTGTCGGGACAGCGTATGTCCAACCTATCCAGCGAGTCACGTAGATAGGTCGGTAGTCGGGGCTCCGTTGATTCTGAAATGCCAAACCATATCCGCGTGAAAGCATCGTGTAGTAGCAGATCTTGACAGCAAATAACAACATGGGTGCTCTTGAAATTGCCAGTGCTCGCTGCCTGGGTAGCAAGAGTCATAACTGTTTACTACCCCAATTAAGGTGCTTATAACCTTACATACTAGTAAGTCCCAAACCCAAACCTAAACTCTAAACTTTAAACCCTAAATCCTAAACCCTAAACCCGTTAAACCCTAAGCTTTAAACCCTAAACTCTAGAGAAGGCCTGGGTTTAGAGGAGCACATCTCGGCGACTTGGAAGCCGAAGACCAAGGTGATGAGGGCCATGGGAATGATCAAAGCGTTTCGGGTCATGCTGAAAACCTTAGCTAGCTTTAGGCTTTAGGGTTTAGGGGTTTTGGGTTTAGGGGTTTGGGGTTTTAGGGGGTTTGCAGCGTGGAGTTTTAGCAGTTCAGTTCCCATAGAAGGCGGACCTCTTCGGTCCTGGAAGGGATGATGTTAAAGCCCCCCAAAGGCAAAATCTCTACCTACCGAGCCGCTGAGACGCCTGAATCTCATCTTCAAGGGTCCCCCTGTACACCGGCCCCGCTTGCCAGGACGAGTGGGCGGCGAGGCAGGAGACGACTTGAAGGCCCGTCAAGATCACCTTTCGGTTTAAGGTTTAGGGTTTAGGGTTTCGGGTTTAGGGTTTAGGGTTTCGGGTTTCCGGGTTTGGGGCTTCGGGGAGGGCTGCTTTAAAGGGAACCTGGTTCTAGATCCGGTCTCACCATGATACGGAAAGTAGAGGGATTGCACTCTGTGCACTGTAGATATCTATACATTAATGTATACACATACATATATAGATAGATAGA